AATTAGGAATGGTATTTAAAATTGTTATTTGAAGAAGTTAAATTATCGGACAGCGATAGTTGAAAAAATAACCATTGAAAGCAGACCCAAGCAAACATAGACTAATTAAGAAGTTTGTAAACCTTTTATGTAACTATAATCGGTTAGATCTATAACACTATTTTGGTAAGAATATGTTTCATGCGGCTGTTCCTTTGACCCCTTTGTAGAATGACTCAAAAATGTTACTACTGTACTAAAGTACTGTAGTCAAAAAAAAAACAAATGCTTTAAATTAGCAAAGTATACATCGTTTATACGTACTGTACTTGTGAAGTTTTACACATAATTTATGTGAGATAATTTATATGAGATAATATATAACCACAAAATTTTTTAGTAATATATTTATTTATACCAATCTATTAATGCACAGCAATTTACAAAGATTTGTGTTTCGCTCATTGACACGTCTATATACATATGTATATATGTTGATGGTACGTACGTATGTACGTAGGTAATGTTCGAGCTAATAATGTACAGAAATACGAATAATAAAGGACGCACAATCACTTGAATCTACAAGAATTTAAAAAGAAAAAGAAAAAAAAAAGAAAAATACAAACAAAAAAAAAGAGCATTTTTTATGCTACTAAACTTCAAGACGATTAATTACCAGTAAGTGAATGGAATAAACCAATTATCAATTGAAACAATCTTCTAAATTCCACCCAATGTAATTCTTCTTCTTGAGTCATTAATATATCATCAAGATATCTGTCAATACATTGACCAGTTTCTTTAATAAGAACCAGTAAAAACCAATCCACTGATGTGAAACCGTAAAATCCTTCAGTTTTTGCACATTCGTCTCGACTGATAATTCTGGTTTCCGTACACAATTGTGGTTGTAGTGATTGAAGAGCATCTATAAAAGTTTTATAACCATCTTCAACATCAGACCTTAAATCAGAGAGATCGTCAAATTCACCAGAATGATTATTAGAGTCCATCAACTGAAGTAAAGTCAGTTGGTCAATGAATAATTCATGATATTTTAAAGTGTAAAAGAATTCGAATTTCACTTCTTGTAAAGCATATTCGATATCGGTCATAAGTTCCGAAAAGATATCTTGAGTTGAACAAGGTTGTTCCTCAAAAAAAATTGTATCGTCCTCTTCAATAAAATGAATTTTTTCTTCACTATCATTGTGTTTAGCTTTAAAAATTGGTTTTGAAAACCAATCCCCAATTTTGAGAAACAGTATAGAGACCTTGGTAACGAACTTCCCAAGTACATAATCTTTAAGCCAGGTAAAAGTAGAGCGGCACAGATGTTGAGACCTTAAAAACAAGTCGGAAACCAAAATCATGAACTTTTCACCATTGCCAGCATGTTCCCATTGTTTTTGAAAATATTCCAAATGTTTCTTGTCAATTTGATCAAATGAAGCGTTAACCAATTGTAACATGAGATGCTCAACCAAGGGACGAGAATCGAATCTTTCTTTACAAGAATGAATTTTTTTATAAGAGTTGTTCAATAGGGCAAGCTTTGGTTTAAACAAACTGTAATCTACGTCAATCAAGTAAAGGGCGCTAAATTGATCAATGAGGACTTCATGATGTTTGATTTTAGAAAATTGTATCATTTTTTGCTTTTTTGTCATGGAAGGCATCTTTGCGCGAACAATAATTATTCTCGGAGAAATAAAATATGGTAAGATGGTTTGAAAAAAAAAAAAAGAAAAATTATTCGAGGAATAAAGAAGATAATAATTATGGTCTAAATAGTCATTTAAAATGGTCGCCTAATTATAAAAGAAATAATCATTAAGAAAGGATGACAGAGAGAGAGCTTAAAAACATCCAAAAAACGGCTATAAAAAAAAAAAAAAAAAAATCTGTTTATCAATTTATGTAGTAAAACAAAGTTTTAACTTAAAATGAATCCCTATTGATCTAATAAAATTTCTGTTTGTGCCCCTGTAACAATTATTTTTTTGTTATAATCGGGAAGATCTCATACGTACAAGACAGGCGATGATTCAAGGGATCATTTGATGGTGTTTGAACAGAGAAAGCAAAACCTTTCATCAATTCCTTTAATAGATGAATACGTATAATATAATTATTTATATACAACTTCGGGATAATTTTTTCAAAAAGAATCGTGAAACCAAGAATCTAACAAATGAAAAAAAGGTCAGGTTATATATTGAAAGTTTTCTAGTATAATATTATAAATGATATACCCGAGCTATACCAAACAATATTTTACGAACGATAGTTGATATGACACGATAGCATTACATTAAATGATTTCTTTGTTTTTTTTTTTAATATGGATTGTCTAGAAAATCACAAGTCATAATCACATGACCAAAAGTTACCAATTTTGAAACAATGAGATTAAAACAATGGGTCACCAAATTAGTTGCGTCGTAAGACCAGTTTTTTCAAGTTTTCAGAAAAAATCGTCAAGACTGGCATGCAAATATTGTAAATAAACATTCAGAAATAGGTAATATTATTATCACAATACATTGCGTGTGAAATTTGATATGGTACGGTTAGTCATAATCGATAAAAATCGATAAATGATATCTATTGACATCTGACCTGCAAATGAATCCAATGAATTCATTTCTTCTCTCACCTAAACTTTGTCTTCAAAATGTTAACGTCAATTTCTGGACATTGGTAGCAAAGAAAGGTGCACAGACCATCGAATTTCCGCATCACCTACGTACGTACGTATTTAAGTCAATATTTAATCTGAATTTCATAAAATTTTTTTCTAATCAAAGGGTGACAATAAACACAATTCATAGAGCATAATGCATGAATCAAAAGGGAACCATCTTTTTTTTTTTATGCATAGATCTGCCAATAAAAAAAGTAGAGTTTTGTGAACCAGTGATTTTATAGACACAAAATTACAATCGAATGCATACAACGTAATCAAATGAAAGTAAAATATAATGAATGTGCGACAGTTTTATCGATTTACAAAGTCATGCATGACCCTTATTCTAAATAAATATTATTGTTATATATTGTTAATCATGTGAAGCTGCTGTAATTTTCTTTTTTTTTTTTGGCGTTCTTCGAATTTCGAGCTAAAAAAAATCGATTTTTTTGCAATATTCTGAAGGATCAAAGTAATAATGCTGTAATGCAAGGCAACCTATCCTTATTCATCACCAAGGCCATATTAAAGCGATTAAAATATTACACCACTTTATACTATTTAAAAACTGATGCTTACTTCATGAAAAGCCAGCCTTTGTCCTGTACCTGCTACATGCATGCGGCTACCGGGACGATCATGGATTTCGTCGAATGTTGTTCCTATCCTCCATTTTGAGTGCTAACAAATCAGCCTAATTGATACATATTAAACCTAGTATCTTCTAAATATGCTTTTAATTCCGTACGTGTGTACTAAAAATGTTAAATATTCGGTGTTGTATTTACATCCGTGTTTCACAGCGTGAGATGTCATCAGCTTTGACTTTTTCAAGCGTCATTTTTTTCGACCCTCCTTATAAATGAAGAATAAACAAAAAAAAAATAAAATAAAATAAAATAAATAATGATGTAAACAAATTCATTCATCAGTTTTATGGTATATTTTCAACTCACAGTAGGGCCGTTTACAATTCATAATATTGTAACCCTTTTGATTTAAACCAATTGTGTTAGGAAATTGTGTTAGGATTTGGCAACAGATTTTAAAAAAGATACGATAGAAATGACAGAAATAAATTTTCGTGCATATATATCTATATATATATAGATATATTTGAAAACTCGTCAATTATTCAAACATTCATCTTTATCAATCTATTAATCAGTTTTTTCTCCATCATATATCATTAGAATAGATCTTATTGTCTTCTTTTCCATGTTTTGCTCGTTTAATAATATATCGATCTATTTCTATATAAATTCTTGCGAATCACATCATACAACGAGTTTTTAGATTCAGATATTATTTAAAAGTATCAGTAAATATTTAAAATAATTGTTACTAACTTGCTTGTCATTAATTCCTTTAGATTAATCAGGTCTATGAATTTTCAATACTTACTTTACTTTTTAACGGAAAACAGATTCTCACTATTTACGTTAAATTCAACAAAATTTTTTTTTAAATTTAATCAGCTTACTACATCCTATTTAAAGATTTTGGTTATTATGATGATTCGGTTACGTGTATATATATGAGTTGTGTAGTGATAGTACTGAAGAAGCTATTAGGCCATAGGGGGAAGCAGTTGTAGTCGATCAATGAGCGATCAACTTCTTGCATTATAAGATTCTAATTATAGAAGGTTTTGTTATAGTGGTTCTGTAGAGTGTATATTCTTTATTTGAAATTTGGACATCTACCTTTATAAAAGGCATACTTACGTTCCTGCAACAAAGAATACCGCCTTCCTTACATTCTTTCGTTTACTTTATTAATTGCTGTATCATTATGTAATTACATAAGGTCCGATCCTTGGTCTCTCTGATAGGATTCTATAGAATTACAGCAATTTTAAACTTTTATAAATCACTGAAACAGAATATTGGTCATTTTTGTGCGGCTGCAGATTGTTGATAAAATTTGTTTTAACTATTTGATTTCCAAATAACATTAAATATGAGAGCCGCCAAGGGAAAACCTGTAATCGGGCTTTCAATGTTCAGCTTGTTTTCTGTGTGCCGTCTAGGGAAAATCTATCATCGGGCTTTAAATTAATATTTTGTCAAAATATAATTGAAAGCCGATGATAGACTATTCCTAGATGGCACACAGAAAACAAACTGAACATTGAAAGCCCGATTACAGGTTTTCCCTTGGTGGCACTCATATATGATTTAGCAATCTCCGATATAAACGCGTAATTCTTTGCTACGTATTGATTTACTTACTGTATATGCATCATCAAAATGGGTTTTTTTTTTAATAAAATAAATGCGAATAAACATACAAATTATACTATATACCATGAATAAAGGACTTGTGCATAGATTCTGTGTATGTTCTTGGTCAACAGCAAACTTGATCTAAACTTGATCTAAACTTCTTTAAAGTTAACCCCAACTTATAACTTTCGCTAACTAGGAATGGCAAATGATCTGGTCTTTTGATCAAATTTAAATAACACAAATTATCAAATATATAATTACAAAATCAGTTGAAAGTCATTGGCCATTTCATTAATCGCGTAAATTATTTTTGGTTAAATCATCAATAAAAAATTATTATTGCTACAATCGATAAATTAATATAGATAATTTATACGTAATAAAACTATACTTATATTATATATATTTTGTAAAGTCTAGAACAATAGTAACCATTGCAAAAAAGAATTAAATTCCATTACTCCACGAAGACATTCGACATAAATTAGTCACGGTTGTAATTTCTTGTCCCAACAAATTTTGTGAAATACTGTTATATATGGTGCTCCAAGTCACTTCTCATCAAGGTGCGCCAAATCCAGCTATATATATTCAAGGTGCGCCAAATTTAGCTAGATATAACAAGATACGCCAAATTTGGATTTGACTAGATATA